GGAGGCCAGCCGGCCGTTGCGACGAAGGGTAAATGCGGTCGACGGGAGCGGAGTCTTAGGAAACGCCCCCTTAACGGAACCCGACTATTACCCCGCCGGAGGACAGTTCACTATTGGAATTTGGCCGACCGGTACAGAGTCGGCCGTCCAAAATCGGTGTGTGTGTGTATGCAACTAGCGTTACGCTAGTTGTACACACACATTAACCTAGACATTAACCTAAAATATTGCCATCAAATATGACAAATTAAACTCTTGCTTGTTAAACAAATGGATAAATTATAACCACTTTCTTATCTACACTGAAAGTATAACACGTCAAATAGAGCATGATTCATTAGCAAAAAGTTTTTTGTTCAACTAATTAGTGTTAAAAGGAAAGCAGCTTTTACCCACGTTTTTTGAATTCTAGGGATGGCGATTTAATGATAAAATTACTGGCAATGTTATAAAGGTATCATTCAAATATTTCACTCTAATTTATTCATCCACCCAAGTGACAAGTGACACTTTTTTCCGTCAGAGAACCGGGTTCGATGCCATCTTAAATTTGTTATTACTGAAATCGTGAACCGTAGATGTCGACGGGAGAACTGAGAAATTATAATAATTCGAATATGTTTACAAAAGTGATTGTTATAGTGCAGTTAGTGAAATGGACAACACAGATGAGTAAATGAATTTTTGTTATTATTTTATTGTGTCTTGGCAAATGAAAAGAAAAAGCAAACGTCAATCAAACAGATTGGCAAAAAAATGTGAATTCACATTGAATATTGTTAATGCTGAATTGATTGCTAGAGATGTACCTACATTATCATCAACTTGTCACTATGAAGGTAATGGAAGTGATATTAATCACACATCTTTGGATAAGAATGAAAATAACACATTCATGTCAACATCAGGTTCATATAAAGTAAAAAAAATCAACCTACAACATCCAATCATTCTGAATATTGGACAAGTTTTGAAAGTTACATTGGAAGTGTCGACGATCAAAATAAAAAAAAAATCAGACAATAGTGAAGACAGTTATTCCAATTCTAGTTATGAAGAAAGTGTATATTCTGAAAGTGATGGTGATAATGAATCAACAATTGAAAATATCGCAGTTGTGGGGTAGAACGCTAGACATTCTGTTAGTTCCAAAGAATTTTTAAGAATATGGGCACTACAAAATAATGTGACACATACAGCACTTACCGAATTATAAAAATGATTCAAATCTGAACCCGAAATGAAGGATCTTCCAACAGATGCTAGGACATTACTGAAAACACCATCTAAATCCAGTTTGACAAAAATAGGAGAGGGCTATTTTCATTATTTTGGATTGAAAAATAATTTGTTGAAAACATATTTATAAACATTGCACCCTTGACTTTAACATAGATGGTTTGCTAATTCATAAAAGTACAGAAGAGTCATTTTGGCCCATTTTGTGTAAAATAGTTGAGTATCCAAATGAACCCCCTTTTCCCGTTGCAATTTATTCTGGGCCCTGCAAACCTCCGCTGAATTTGTTTTTATCTGAATTTGTTTTGGAGCTGAAAAGTTACCTAAATTGTGGAATTGTTTTTCAAAATCAAATTATCAGTATTTGATGTCGATCATTTTGTTGTGATACCCCTGCTAGAGCTTACATTAAAAATACTAAAGTTCACAATGCATATTATGGGTGCGATAAATGTTTAGTTAGAAGGGTTTATATCAATCATAAAATGACATTTTCAGATTTGAAAGCTGCCTTGAGGACAGATACGGACTTTGATTGTGGAAAATATGAGAATTACCATAAAGGTCAAAGTCCTCTGAGTGAGCTTAATATTGGGATGATATCTAGCTTTCCAATTGATTATATGCATAGTGTTTGCCTTGGAGTGATTAAAAAATTGCTACATTTGTGGAGAGATGGCAGTCGTCTCTTTCGATTTAAAATTGTTAGAAAACAGAATTGAAGAACTTAAAAAGTTTTGGCCAGTTGAATTCAATAGAATACTGTCTCAAAGATTTAGACCATTGGAAAGCTATTGAATATAGACAATTTTTGTTATACATGTCACCTTTTCTTTGTGATATTCTTTCTGAACATATTTTCCATGATTTCATGTTGTTGAAATTTGGGATAACGATATTATTGTCATCACTAAAATCCGAGTACAGTGAATTTGCAGAACTTTTATTGAGATCGTTTGTGAGTAATTCGTTACAAATATATGTCAGAGATTTTTGTGTCTACAACGTCCATTCGCTCATTCATATTGTCAAAGATGCTGAACATACCGTAAACCGGGGCTACTTTGCATTTGACAGGTAACTTTGCACCACCTCATCAAAAACATCAAAAACTCCGCTAGGGGCCACTTGTGTGGGAAAATGAGACAACTCTGCCTTCAAGGGTGTTGGCAGAACTGCTGACTCGGAATAGCAACACTGTTTTTCTTTCTGATAAGCCAACAGGTTGTCTGTGTGAGGAAAACGACATTAGGTTTGTGTGCCTTCCACCCAATAGTACACACCTCACACAGCCACTCGACGTTGCCTTCTTTCGGCCTTTAAAAGTGGCATGGCGGAAAATTTTAGGATCATGGAAAGAGACAGAGGCTGGCCGTCGATGCCCTGTGTTACCCAAACAGGAATTTCCACGACTTTTAAAGGAGTTATTAAATACAATACAACCGAAACAAGCGGACAATTTGGTTTCTGGTTTTGAGAAGTGTGGAATTTATCCTACAGATCCCGCGCCTCTTATTGCGAGGCTACCTTCTGTGCTGCACAGAGAGGCTTTGCAAGATTCTTTCATTCAAAAACTCCAAAACTTGAGAGAAAACGTTGTTGGAGGGAAGAAGGGAGGCAGGAAGCGAAAAATGACAAAAGAACCAGGGCAGAGTATCTTAGTAGAAGATATAGATGGTTTTCAGCCAAGTACTAGTGCCCCCACCCAAGGCAAGCCAAAGACTAAAAATCGTAAGCTCCAAGCTGAAAAGGATCCTTCCAATGAAGGGGACCCAGACGAGGGAGGCCTTGCAGCAGATTCTTCGGACGATGATATGGAAACTTACTTTGATAAAGAAATGCAACAACTGGACGAGGATAATGAAGCTACAGCAGTCTTCGAAGGCCAAAAAACCATACAATCACTTCTGCAGCTAAGCGATTGTTCGAGAGTAGTTGGAGAGTACGTTATTTTTCAGTACGAAGGGTCCTATTTTCCAGGAAAAATATTAAAGATTAATGATGACGGTGCCCAAATCAGTGCCATGCAAAAGTCACTAAAATCGTGGAAGTGGCCTACCAAACCAGACATCATGGACTATACATGGGAAGATGTAGTTGGCCACATTGATCCTCCACAACTAATTTCAAAAAGGGGGTTCTATTCTGTTTCCGCGTTGACGAAGATTGGGTGGTTATAGGTAATTGGAAAATAACTAGGTAGATACCTACCTACGTGATAATGTTTTATCCGAAACACCCTAAGTACCTAGCTACCTGCGTTGAGATGTAAAATTTATTGGTTTTGATTTGTGTTTTCTACTTGTGGTTTCTACTAATTTGTAAGAACTTATAGTTCCTTGTTCAATTTTATTAAGCATTTACACGATGAAAAATGTTTCTTCGTGCATTATTTTCACTTTAATGAAATATTTTTGTAAGAATTTTTTCTATGTTTCTTGAATAAAGTTTATTAATGCCATGTTACCCTCATGAACTTATTTCTTTGCACCAACAATCCTAAAACATTCAGAAACTATTGAAAAGTGCTAGTGGTGCAAAGTCACCTCAAACCGTAGGTAAGTCACCTTAAACCGTAGGTAACATTGCACCAAAAATTAAGAAAAAATAATAATAATATTACGACACTGCGGGCAGAATTTTAGTAGATGACTCTCTTTATTAACAATCCAGAAACACGAAAAAAATTACAGTGAACATTTCCTTGAGTAATTGCAGCAGCTACGCTAACAAATTGCTACGAAACTCTAAAAAATGGTGCAAAATAACCCCGGATTACGGTATCTCATCACTTAATGAAGTTAATTGTTTCTACTTTGAGAATTATTTGCCATTTATGAAGCGTATGCTTCGTAAATCAAATCACTCTTTACAACAAGTGGTCAACAGAATTTCAGAAGGAAGATAAATGAATAGTAAACCAAAAATTGATGGCACATTTGTTGTTGGAAATGGTTACAGTAAAGTTAATGATGAACGTGACTTTTATAAGAAAATCTCACATAATGGCCTTATATTTACTACCGAAATGGGAAATAATTGTGTTTATTTAAAGAACTGCAAGATAGTTTTAATTAATTCTATTTTTGTTCTAGCAGATCTGATTTATATTCAAGGAAAACATTTACAAATTCTCAAACCATTTTTAGATTATCCCACAAGTAGTGATCTAATATCATTGTTTGAAGTTTCACTAGAGGATGAATCAAATGACGTTACATATCCAGTTAACAATATAATTAATAAGGGAGTTCTATTGAAATATCAGACATCATATATGTGTACTCCTTTACTTCATTGCCTTTGATATTTACAATCTGTAGATGTGTTTTTTTTGTAGGAATCATTTTCTTGTGGTAGAGTTTCCTGAAGAAAAAAACTGAGATGGAATAATACATATGGGTTTAATATCAAGTAATTGAACATTTGCAAGAAATGGAAATATGTTTTGCTATTGGCCATCATATCTTCGATCTGATAAAGAGAAGGAAAAACTGATAAAAGCACATATTGATCTTCAGGAAGATAAATCTATGGAATGTGCCATTTTAGTAAAGTTTTCAACTGGTATGTTTATTCCCAATTGGCCATAAAATACAGATTCGAAAGTGAATGTAAATAATATATGTAAATGCTTCTGTATATTTCTATTGTAGGCCTGAAGATGGCGACAAGCGTCGCCGAATCGTTTAATAGTCACTTGCCAGTAAAATTAATTGAAATCTATTACATCTAGACAATAACTTATTGAATTATGTTTTTACTTTTGGAAACAGTGAAAGTAAAGCATGTCAAGAAAATAAAGGTAATTTGAGCATTGCATTTAAATTTTTTGTTGATATCCGAATATTTTCAGCTTTAATAGTTGAAGTTCTAAGACAACTGGAAAACATTAAAATAGATATCAAACATCTGATTCTAAATTCTAAAATAGAAAACTCTCAACCCCTTCCGAAACAGTTGTGTGTAATAGATAGTATTGAAGACCTTCTAGAGTTTAATACACATTTGGAAGATGAAGATTTTTTTTCCAAAGCTGTAAGTATTTCACTTGAAGACATAATTTTTTTTATTTGGTGAATATCTACAGTTTTTATAAAATTTCAGTGTTCTCAGTTTCAAATATTTGGTGGAAAAGATGGACCTGAAACAGTACGAAAGATAATGTCCCAACTAATAAGCAACACATGAGGTGGCTCCAAATGAATTGGTCTGGACGGAATAACAAAAAGGGATTTTATAGTTTGAAGAAGATATAATAACGCTTATTCATGGTGAGTAGAATTTTTCCTTCAACTCACTGGCAGTGAGTGAATATTGTCAATAGAACATTATTTCTCATTATATCTTATGTCTTTGAAAAAAAGTCTAGAGAATATAACTATCTCTATTTTTTGAATGTTCATTTTTTGTTTCAGTTTGTGTAAGAGCTAACCTATGTGCTCAAGGTACAACTATGAGTTGTGTGGAAAACACTATCAAACATTGGCTAAGAAATGCACCGAACAGGGAAGCGAGTCAAAAAGCGAAATAAAGAAGATGACCATCATTAGACGACAACTCTTAATTTTTTAATTTTTCTTTAAAGGAATTATGTTTATTTTTTTCAAGAGAATATTACATCTTTTTCTACAAATAAACTGAATTAAAACTTATTCGCGATGTTCATTAAAATAACCTATCAATACTTGTTTTAGAAAAACCTTTATTAAAACACATTGTATTGAAAATGTTTTCCATGGTATAGAGAGAGTATTATATATTGGTTCATAAAAATAGTTTTGGTACAATTTTTTTAACTTACGGTAAATATTTCTACCATCATTGCTCAATTAATAGATAGAATTGGAATCTCCGGCGTAAAATGGTTACAAAGAACACTTTTTCCACGCACCAGAACTAGAGCACTTATCTCGACGCGCATTTCACTAACCAAGTTAGCATCATCAGGAGATGACTAAAATTGTTTTAGTCATCACCCGATTGTGCTAACAACTTGGTTAGCGAAACGCGCGTCGAGAAAAGTGTCCTAGTTCTGGTGCGTTGGAAAAGTGTTTATAATTATCATTGCTCAATAGGTTTCGACATACCATAAACTTGAAAAGTGAAGTAGTAGAAATTTAAGGTCCTTATATGAGTAGACCAAAAAAGCCATATTATATGTACAGGGTCCTGCAGCAGTGGCGCGGTGTTCCATATCCCTATTTAAGAAACAGATAGGAATCTAAATTTTTATAATATCACCTCATTACTCGAGCTCGCCAAAATAAAAATATTGGCGGTCACACAGGGTGTTCAATTTTTTCTGGGCGGATCTATTTTATCGCCATAATATCAATGTTTTTTTACTGTGAAATCCATATGTGACGGCTGTGATCGAGATATATGTTATGTTCATAATACATTTATTCTCTAAATAGAACACCGTGCAATTTCTTCATTTGATGCATAGTTTTTGTCCAAACCTTTCCTTGAAATATAGCCCCATGCCTAAAATCACCCGTTGCTAGATAAACAAGCTTTGAATTACACCGCAAAATGTACCTTCTTGAATATTTACAATAATTTCAATAATCTCGAAATTTGTGCCATATTTTTTCGGTCTAAAACAACCTTCAGCGAATAAAATAAAATTTAACGATTTGTTGAAACTGGATGTATCAATTATTCTAAACATGAGTGCATCAAGACAGCTACTAATGAAGATAATGATTTGCAAGTTCTTCTTGCTGTTGAAGAAGATCCTAGTAGGAGTCAACGACAAACTGGTGAAATAGTGGATATAAGTGAGAGATCAGTGCAACGAGTTTTGAAGAAACATCGCTTTCCATCTTATACTACTGTATGCCGATTTTGAGGAAAGAGTGGGATTTTGCAATTGGGCCATGGGAAAAATTCGTCGAAACGAATATTTTTTCAATAACATTTTATGGTCGGATGAATCAACATTTATGAATGGAACAATGTATGTGCATCTGCTCACTATTCGGCAAGAGTTAGAGATCATCTAAATGAAGTATTTCCCAATGAATGTATAGGACGGAATGGGTCTGTACGGTGGCCCGCTACATCACGAGATTTAACAAAACTGGATTTTTTCTTATGGAGATACATAAAAAATATGGTTTACGTCGAGCCACCAGCTTCTTCCGGAAATATGCGACTTAGAATAACGAATGCTTTTGGCAGCATTACACCAGCTGTCTTGCGCAGGATAGAACAGTCCTTCAAACATAGACTTCAGCTCTGCATTCAAGAAAATGGAAGACATTTCGAACATATTTTATAGAAGTTTCATTATCAACCTTCATTAAACTCTTCCTTTTTTAGTGTTGTAGTTTGTCAGTTGACAAATTTAAATATCTAGAACTTAAGCCCTGAATTCATGAATATACAACATAACATGAAAAAAAAAATAGTAATATTCATAATGTTTTTTCATTTAATCTTGTTTGGTTTGATATTGCACGATTTATGGGAAAAATTCTGCATCCAATGAAAAAAAAAATTCCATTTAGAAAAATGTTATAGGTACATACATTTATTTCGTAAAAAAATATTTGTTTGGACACGCTATATATAATGTACCAAATTGAAACAAGATATCTTTTGTATTTTCTCATCAGTGGTCAAATGGACATCGAGTTTATGGCGTAGAAATAGAAAGAACGACCATTTTTCGAAAAAAATGCTTATTTAAGAAAAACTATTAAACATAGCCATAGAAAATACTTGATGAAATTTGTAGAGGTTTCGTTGGCGCTGCTTATGGATCAATAATATACAGGGTGTTCCATTTAAAATAAAGCAGATTCTGCAAATTTTCATTTACAATATGTGGTAAGCGGTTTTTCATACCCTGTATATCACAGGTAGATTTCAGATATATCGTTTGAGAGAGTTACCAATATAGAATATTTGACCAAAAAAAAATTCAATTGGACTTAGGTTGCTATTTAAAAAACACAGTTGAGATCCGCCCAGAAAAAATTGAACACACTGTGTGACCGCCAATATTTTTATTTTGTCGAGCTCGTGCAATGAGGTGATATTACAGAAATTTGGATCCCTATCTGTTCCCTAAATTGAGATATGGAACACCGCGCCACTGTTACAGAACCTTGTATATATACAGTGTCACCATTAAAATGCGCACCATATGGAAAACTTTTTTTCGAAAAGTTTCAATGAAGTTCAACTTCGGCACTTGTTTGTGCTTTGAATTTAACTTAAAATGATGCGGCCAACTGCGACCCAATGACGTTCAGTGTTTGTCAAATTCAACTTTTTTTTTGAAAAAAAATTGAAAAAAAGCATTTCTAGATCGAATTTAACAAAAAGTTACTTGAAAAAGTTGTGTCTACGGCAATTTTATATCCATATGCCAAATTTTATGCAACTAGGATAACGTTAACGTTTTGCTCATTTTTGACAGATATTCCCTTTATTTTAAAGGGGATATCGAAAAAGCAGAGGCAAATAAAAAAATGCAAATAATTTCGATAGAACTATTATTATTATTATTATCATAAATTTTAAACAACAATAATATTATAGAAAATACAAATGGGTACAAAAAATTACTTATTGATCTAAATGAGGTTGTCAAATACTTATAGCCTACATTTCAGTATGTCGTCATCCACGTTCAATACAAATTATGGTCCTTCTACTGACATCTGTAACTGCATTTTTAATAAATTGGGGATTTATATTTGAACAGCACTCGCGAATGGTATTTTCCAGATGTTGTATGTCAATGTACACTTTTGTTTCAGGTAACCCCACAAGAAAAAGTCTAAAGGCGCCAAGTCGGGTGATCTAGGTGGCCAATAATGTTCCCAGTTACGTTCAATAACTTTGCCTCTGAACATTTGTTGGAGGGACTGTTTTACAGCAACCGTGTGATGTATTGGTGCGCCATCAAGCTGATACCATAGGTCGTATTTAATATTTGAAGGCATATTATCTAAGACTTCACCAACATCATTTTTTAAAAGGTTGAGATAACCGACGGATGATAAATTTTCCCTAAAGAAAAATGGCCCAATTATTTGGTCGTTAAGTATCCCACACCATACATTAGTTTTAAAGGAAAACTGATCACCACATTCAACTGTGAAATTGGGATTTTCTTGGGCCCACCATCGGCAATTTTGAGAACTTACGTTGCCTCATCTGTCCATAAAATTTTATATGGAAACTTTACATTTTCTTCTCTCTCTCCTTGAAACCAGAATGAAAACCCCAAACGAACATCAAAATCTCGTTCTTGTGATGTGTTAATAAATTTTGGCTTGTAAGGCGAAAATTTATTCTTTAATAAAAATTTTCTAACACTTTCTCTCTTGTAATCGGTGTTCAATAACTTTTAAACAAATGTTAAGTTGGGCCTCCTCATCATATTTACTTGGAGTGTGCTTTTTCTTAAATTGATTTGCTACGGATCCTGTTTCTCTGAATTTCGACATTATCCTTGACACAGTAGTATGTTGAACATTTTTTCCTGTATGTCGTTCATTAAAAATGTTAGCTACTTGCCAGTCCGGTGTATTCTCACCACCGTACTATTCTTTCCTGAAGAGACAACATTATTGCAACAATAACTGTTGAAAATTTGACAAGTAAATCAACAACTTGACACTACCATAGCATGCATTTTGTTTGTCAAGACCTACTTAAAAATTTTATTCAACGTGATTAAGCATCCTTACCGCCCTAGTTAGTGTTTATAAATAATCAGTATATACTAAATATTGAAATTTTAATGTAATTTCAACTCTAGTAATTTTATTAATACTTATTGCAGTTTTTGAGTTGTGTCTGCTTTTTCAAAATTGAAGGTACTAACGTTTGTTTAAGAAAATAGCCAAGTGATTGAAACTTTGCACCAGTCATGTTAAAAATTTTATAGCACATTTTTAATTTCTCTCTAAAAATGTCCCTACAAGTAAAAATTTATCAGAAAAGTTAAACTCCATGATGAGTTTGTTATGTATACATGAATTGATGACAATTAACCGAACTTTTTTAAAATAAAGGGGATATCTGTTAAAAATAAGCAAAACGTTAACTTTATCCTAGTTGCATAAAATTTGGCATATGGATATAAAATTGCCGTAGGCACAACTTTTTCAAGTAACGTTTTGTTAAATTCGATCTAGAAATGCATTTTTTCAATTTTTTTCAAAAAAAAAAGTTGAATTTGACAAACACTGAACGTCAGTGGGTCGCAGTTGGCCGCATCATTTTAAGTTAAATTTAAAGCACAAACGAGTGCCGAAGTTAAACTTCATTGAAAAAGTTTCCCATATGGTGCGCAGTTTATTGGTGAAACTGTATATTTTGTTTCACGAAAATCCTTAAGCCAATTGTAGAAACACTTCGCTTACATAATGTAATTTGCGTCAATTACCTCGATGACTTCCTGATCATTGGAGACTCTTGTCCTTTATTTTTAAACTATAATTCAATTATAATAATGCATTCCTTTTAAATTAAATTTGTTTGTATCTGTTAATACTTAGTGGTTT